GTGGAACCTTCCCTTCCGGATTTATCTCCAAGAACCTAAGATTATACCGTCCAATAACACAATTTAATTTGTACCAATAGAAACATCACACGTTATTGCAACACATAATCATACACAAAAAGAAAAAAAGCACAAAAAAACATGCATTTGATGATAAAACTAACAAGTACCGAGCAACATGTCAAAGAAACAGAAACTTAGAGAGGTGTTACCACTGGGGCTTGTCGGTAGTGTTGATAAGAATTTTTTGGTAAGGGATATTCTTTTCCTCGAGGGTAAGAGCTACTCGCTGACAAAATGGACCTAAAAATAAGGAAAACTGTCACAAATTTAGGGTAGAATTAGAAAAAGAAAACAGTATTAATCTCAGTGGGGGAGAGAGAGATTACAGTCTCCAAGATCATCTGGAGCACCAATAGCAGCCTTGACACAAAGTTCCAAAGTCATGGTACACTGGAGAAAAAGCTCAGCAGCTAGTTTGAAGAAATGGATGGAAGAAGGAAGCTGATTGCCTTATATTACTCCGAAAATATGCTTGGGTATTATAAAAGCAAGCGGGATTTCAGCCAGCTTTCCCGCCCAAATTCCCGCTGTGGATCGGCTATGTACAAAACGGTCTGTCTACCACTCGACTATACTGATGTAAAAGTACAATGATTTACGGCTCAACTAAAGCAGTGTTTGGGGTTGTTTAGAAAAAGCGTTTTTCAGCTTTTGGCTTAAAAAAAGTTAAAAAGAGTGTTTTCAGATAACAGCTTCTGCTTAAATTAATCAGTTAAAAGCTAAAAGCTGAAAGCAGGTAGAAGGGTGCTTTAAACTGTTTTTCACTTTTTCTATTACACAAAAAGTACTTATTTTACCAAACACTACCAACTTTTACTTTTACAGACCACTTTGTTCTCAAACACTACCAACTTTTACTATTAATCACTTTTCCCAAAATCACTTTAAAAAATTGAAGCAATTGCAAACACTCCCTAATATTGAAGCTGCGGTGAGAGCATCTTGAATAATACAATGTGTATGATGCACATGTGGCATGAGACATAACCATATAAATATTACGCTTTAACATATTTCGTATAAGTTATCTATTTCCTTATTTTAATGACTTTATACAATTTTAGTAAGTTTTTCTTCACTATGTCAAGAAGACCGTCTAAATGTTGACATTGCAAAGAAAAACTTACCAAAATTGTATAAAAACATTTAAATAAAGAGTGAAATAATTTATTTGCTTATATTTATGTCGTTATCTCTCATGCTACATGTGCACTATGCACATTGTGGCATTAGAGATGCTCTAATGAAAAGCCAACAAATGAAGAGCACATACTTTAGAAGATTAGTTTTTGAAAAATTAAAAAAAATCTATTTCCTCCTTCCCGCTTTTCAAAAAATGTATACTACATGTGGTAATAGAAGCTTAAGGTCGTCTGTTAGCATTTAATGCATGGGTATCGTCTAATTTTGATTTGTCACAACTCACAATTATTAATAAAGTACTTCCTCCGTCCCGCGATGATTGTCTCATTTTACATCTTCGGTCTGTGCTAATGTCCTACTATGATTGTTTCATACCAAATTTGGTGAAGTTTGTGTGGGTCTAAATCATTCTTACTTTATTCTTACTTTATCAATTCAATATCAACCACATAAATCACTTTTTATTATTTTGTGTGTCACTCCCTCTTGTCCCATTGTTAGGGGTCAGAGGGAGTGGTTGAAAACGTAAAAGTTGTGATTGAGATTTGAGTTTTATAAAATGAAATATTGTAGATCACATATTTTTTTTCATAAAAAATGTAACACTTATTTTGGAACAATCCAAAAGGGAAAACATGACAAGTAAAATGGTACATAGGAAATACCTTTGGCTAAAGGGTCAAATAGACCCTTGAACTGACTTAAAGTGTTCAATTAGCCCCTTATATAGAAGGTTCTATCCGGCTGTCGCTAATTGGGCGGTTCCCGGTGGAATTTTTTGAGCATCTTCTTCATGAAGTCTAGTTTACTCATACCAAATTTCAGCTAAAAATTCAACCGGGAAGGCAACCAAGTGATTTTCCGAAATGTGCTGTGCTGTTTAACTTCGCAGTTATCTTAAAAAAATCATTTGACAGCCTTCCCGGTTGAATTATTAGCTGAAATTTAGTATGAGTAAACTAGACTTAATGAAGAAGATGCTCAAAAAAGTTCATCAAAAAATTCCAAATAATGCAACTTCAAAAAACGTTCGAATGCTTTCTTGTAAACTTCAAACATTCCAAATAGAAGACCATAGTTTAAAAAACTAGACCTAAAGCATTATTTTAAAACACTCATGCTCCATAGTTTACAAGAAAGCAGAAGTTTGCTTTTGATTTGGGTGGTTCCTAATAGATATTTGGTCTTATTTGGTCTTCATGTTCTCAAAACTCTTTTCGAAAATAATGCAAATATTGTTCAAATAATGCAAATATAGTTTTTTCTTCTTAGTAGTTGTCATCTAAGGTTAAAGTTCTCTAAAATTGAGAGGGAGGACGTAATGTCATAGATTAAAGTGGAGTTCACATTTATATTTACTTTAGTGTTAACTTATTTGACTCGTGAGGAAGGTCACCCAAATTAGAAAGATCTTAACAAGACTCTTGGATTTTCTTTCATACACTGTTACATCAATATATACACACAATAAACTAAAAATAGACGGTGCAATACGGGGTGGGAATGAAACTGAATGGAAGAGGCTGTTCAATAACGTAGGTCAAACGATTCATTTGGAGGGTTACGTTTTTAAGTAGGAATGGACTCGGGCCGGGCCAACTGGCCCGGAACTGGATCGGTCCACTACTGTGCGGGCCCGGACCGGCCCGCTACTGTGCGGGCCCGGACCGGCCCGGTGAACCGGTTAGTGCCCGGTTCGGGCCACCCGGCCGTCCGGCGTCCCGGCCCGGTGGGATAGCGGTCCGGGCTCGGGCCTGATATTTAGTGAACCGGCCGGGCCGGGCCTCAATGGTCATATTTAAAAAAAATATTTTTAAATGGTTAAAGGCTCTCTAGCCGTTGGGAGCATAGGAGGGGGGGTGGGGGGCAGGGGGTCCCGGGTGTGGTGGTGTGGGGGTGGGGTTCAAAAAATCTATAAAAAAATCTATTTTTTACCATTTTTCTACACCTCTTATCCAACTCTTCTCCATCTTCATCTTCTCTTATTATCCTACAATTCTACTTATACATCTACCATTTTAAAGATGGAAAGTAATTCTTTTGTTATGCAAAACAATTTTGATAAGTGAAAGGACCCGAAGACCGGACTGTGGTGGGCAACTTGCAAGTGGTGCAAGAAAGAGTGTTGTTTGGGGCGTTCACACGGAGTCGGGATGCTAATAAAACATATGAAGTCATGTGACAAAGGCAAAACAACAATCAACGTTGACGGAAATCCCAATTGATATTTATTAGAGAATGTATTTCATATTGTTACTTTTTTCTCAATTCTCAAATGTACTTCTTATTTCAAATAAATGTACTTGAATTTTGTTTTTAATAAGAATTATTATAATAATATAATATATAATTTTAAAAAAAAAATATAAGGCCCGGCCCGTGAACCGGGCGGGTGACCCGGCCCGAACCGGACCCGGGTTTACCCGGGCCGGTTCCGGGCCTCCCATCAGGGGCGGATCTAGCCCATGGCCAGGGTGGGCCTAGGCCCATGCTCAAAAAATATAATTCATTGTATATATATACTATGTATATATTAATATATAGTGTTTTAGTAGTTATGATATAAAAAAAAAGCTAATGTCAATTTGTTAACATCAGTCAAGTTGGTCCAATGGAAGCACACTAATTATGCAACAAAAGGGGTCAAGTTCGAGTCCCTTGGGCACCATATTTATAATTTTTCAATGCAACATGAGTAAATTTTTTGATACACTGTCCAAATTGTTGGGCTTTTGGTAATTGATCTGCAAAATATATATATATATATATATATATATATATATATATATATATATAGTTCAAATCATTTGGCTTTTGAATATTAGCTTGAAAAATTAATTAATGCGATTTATTAGAATTTTGAATATTAGTCTAAAAATTAATTAGTTCACATCATTGGACAATTGAATATTGATTTGAAAAGTTAATAAGTTCAATTCATTCTGCTTGGTAGGTGAAATTTAATTAGTTTACTTTTTACATAGAGCATAGACTATGGAGTCAAAAGAAAATTGATTTTCGAGAAATCAATTTCAAAATTGGTATTGAACACGTCATTAACCGACACAAGCCAATTTCGGTTAGATATCTATGGGTCTTTTAAGATAATTAAATTTTCGGTTTTGTAATATTTATTATTTTTTCTTTGACACTTGTAAAATTATATAACTAAATCTTGTAATTTTAACATTTTTTGCAAAATAAATTACGTATCGCTAATTAAAATTTGGCCTCACCTCAACGCAAATGCTAGATCCGCCCCTGCCTCCCATACCTTGAACCGAGGCCCGGCCGGTTCAAGGCCCAAACCGGCCCCGGCCCGAACCTAGTCCATCCCTATTTTTAAGAGGTAATATTAGTGTCATTTTTTGTATTTTTGTTATACGGGTTTAGGCGAGAGTAAAAGAATAGTCTATTTGACCAATCTAATTTTCCCCTCATAGAAATCTTGGCCTTTGATTTTGATAGAATCGGTTGGAAGCATGGGCGGAGCTAGGGGTGGACCAACCTAGGCCCTGGCCCACCCATTTTTTAAAAACACCTCAATTATTAGTGTTAAAAATTCCGGTCTAATTTTTTTTTTCAAAAATATTCTTTGTAGCGGCCCAGTGCGGCCCTACAATGCCATCTTATAAAGGATTGGGAAGCATAAATATCCTTCTTATATCTTCACAGCGAACAGTACTAATCTTGCTAGTGACAAAATCCATTCAACAAGAATCACAACACGACTCAACACCCAGAAAAACACAACACTGGGAGAGTGGGAGTGAACACTGACAATAAAAAAACTGGAAGAAATGAAACGATGATGATTTTCAGATTTTGCCACACAAGGGTGTAGGTGGAAGTTTATGATGAAGCCATGAAGATTAGCAGGCATTCTATTATCGAGGAAAACCAACGACAGATCATTAATTTATAAACAACCAATAAGTTGTGGTTCATAAATAGCTAGGCCATCAAAAGTTGATAAAAAATAAACACCATTCCACACAGGCACTCAGACAGGTTATTAAGATTCTCATAAGCATACTGCATAAGTAGAGCATTTTATCTATCAAATAGATCCTCTGCCAAAAGACAGAGTAGACAAGAAGCAGCACAATGCCAATAGCAACATGAAGTAAATTAATGAATCTTCAGATCTACAGCTTGGGATTGGTTCATGCATTAACCTTTGGAGCCCACCCGGCAATAATATACTCATCTTTTGGGGGCTTAGTTTTCTGGAAAGAGTCCCTTGCAAAGACCAACTGCAAAAAAAAAAGAATGAAATCAAAGGCAAACTTCTGCTTTCTTGTAAACTATGGAGCATGAGTTTGAGAGTAGTAGCATGTAGTGCTTTCTTAGTTTTGACAAGAACCTTAGGTTTCTTCTGTGTATATTTTTATATTTCCCCTCTTTGGAGGTTGGGTTATTGTAGGGGACTGTGGTTTCTGTCCACGACTTCAGGCATAGGATCCACACACCAATGGTTTAGATGAGCTACACACTTGTTTAGTGTCTCAAATAAGTCATGTTTTTAGTTTGAGAGTGGTAGCATGTAATGTAAGGTGAACCTAACATCTAATGCACAAGTAAATTCATCCCTCATGTATCATTTTACTGTGAGTTAGACCCAAATTAAAATGCAAATATGCCATAATGTATTAGATTTTGTAGCCCGACTGCCAGGCCCAAATAATGGTTTGAGAAAGACATGAGTGTCCGTTTGGACCTATCTGTCCACCTCCCACCTCTTCAACTGCATAATCCAGCTTATGCTGAGGTGTGCTCAGCCTCGCTGCTTAGGCTGGGTTCGAGTATAATATACTATCATATAAGTATTGAGAACCGCAAACTTCACTGTTTGATGATCATTTTCGGGTTAATTAGGCCCAATTTAACATTACTTTTGTCATGGAAAAGATTCTTAACTATTTTGGAGGATGTTTCGATGGGTACCCCTCTCACATTTATATTTTATTTCTTATCATTAAGTTTCTTTTTCTTTAATAAGATTGTCTTCAGAGCACTTACTTTTAAAAAATGGCTGCTTACAAACTCCATTAGAAGAACTATACACTTGCATCTAATATAGACACTTGCAACAGTATGAATTCGTGACTAACATGGGTTGGTTTTAATGACAGTCAAATACGGTCATACCTTCATATAATTATGCACATGAACCAAGCCCTCTGGAACACTCCATTTCTTGAAATGGCCAAGAGCCACCTGAAGGTGGTATAGCTTTGGTGCCAAACTCAAATCAGCCGAACTAATTTTCTCCCCATTGATAAATGGTCCCTGAACATGCAAGACATATTAATGCTGCACTGCATATGAGTTTTAATGTGGCCATGTTGTAAGCACTAAAAAATTGCAGTTCTTGGCTGTTAAAATTGAAATATTCATACGTTTTTGTTAAGATGTTCATCAAATGCCTTCAGTTCTTCAACTAGAGACTGCTCTGTACCATCATTGAGATCCTTGCTTTTCAAAAAAGCAACAAAAGTAGGGAGTATCTTAGAACCACTGCAAACCAAATAACCGCAAATTGTTAGTATCTATATATTGCAACCTCAAATGCAACATAGAAACCAGAAATTGCTGTTATCAACTGACTATCACAAATATATGATTACTCCCTTTGTCGGAAAACAAGAGTCTTGTTTCGAACACTTATTTGTCCCAAAAGGAGTCCAAGTTTATGTCAAAGAAAGTTAACTTTTCATGTTATTTCCCCAACGTATAGTTAGACAATTCATATTACATATTTTCAATGTAATTAAACCATGGATATATTTTTAAAACGTACAAGTAAGATTCATGATTTATAATTGTTGGATCTTACCAAAATAAAATTGGGGTTCATGATAAAAAACTATTTTCTGAAGAAATACGTCCAGTTTTTCGTTGGATTTAGAGCCAAAGAATAAATAAATACAGGAAGAGCAAAATTTGCAGCAATTAGTTAGAATAACCCAATTTCCATCAAGGGATATTATTAGCAACCTAAAACAGATCTAGATAAAATTTTATGCTCAGTCCATTAAACAGAAAAATAAAAGTACATTTTAAAAATGAAGTCAATCCTCTTCTACTCATTTACCTCCTCAATAATTAAATACAATAAGCATCAAATGAATGGAAGCAGTTTAGAACATTACACCGATGCAAATTCAGAGGGAATTGCAAGTGGTGGTTCTGGGTATTTCTCTTCAATAATCCCAACAATTACATCAGAATCAGCAATCCATTTCCCATCAAATTTGATAAGTGGAACCTTCCCTTCCGGATTTACCTCCAAGAACCTAAGATTCAACCGCCCAATAACACAATTTAAGTCGTACAAATAGAAAACCACACGTTATTGAAACATATAATCATACACAAAAAGGAAAAAAAACACAAAAAATCAAGCATTTGATAATAAACCGAACAAATAACTAGCAGTTTGCCAGTATGTCAAATAAATTGAAACTAATAGAAGTGTTACCATTGAGGCTTGTCGCTAAGGTTGATCAGAATAGTCTGGTAAGGGATATTCTTTTCCTCGAGGGTAAGAGTTACTCGCTGACAAAATGGACCTAAAAATAAGAAAAACTGTCAGAATTCTAGGGTAAAATTATAAAAAGAAAAAGGAATTACTCTCAGATGGGGGGGAGAGATTACAGTCTCCAAGATCATCTGGAGCGCCAACAGCAGCCTTGACACAAAGTTCCAGAGCCATGGTACACTAGAGAAAAAGCTCAGCAACTAGATTATTCAGACTATTACAATTACAAGAAATTGATGGAGGAAGGAAGCTGATTGCCTGATTATATGCCTCTGGAACTCTCGTTGACCAAATCTTATACGTGGGAGTTTTAAAGACTTAAATATTTGTACGGAGACACGTAGTATGATTTTAGTAGTTTTTTTCCATATTTTAGTGGATTCATTGAACTTGGACGGTTTTTAATCTCAGACCAGACCAGATTTAAATAAACCAAACCAGACCAGATCAGAACAGACTTTTAAACCTATAAAAACACAGAAATCTAACATCCATCAGATCCGGACAGACCAGACCTAACTTAAACAGAGCAGATCAGACCGAACCAACCCATTTGAGTCCAAGTAAAATCATCCTTGGTTCGTATAAGACATTTGGAGACTTCTTATTTTTTTTTTGGATGAAATTTTTGGAGACTTCTTATGTTCTTATTTCACGTAACCTTTGGGCTTGAAAAACAATTCTAATATTACAATTGGATAAAAATGTAAATTGCAATATTAGAGTAAAATGCATAAAAGTACCTCAATTATTGGTAATGTTGCATTTTGGTACCTCAACTCTTTAATGAAGCAGATGAGTACCTCAACTACGTTTAAATGTTGCAACCGGCGGTACCATTCAATATTCCGGCCAAAAAATGCCACATGTCCGCCGGAAATCCACGTGTATATCCTAGTCATCGTTTTTGTCAACGTCATTATTATCCACGTCATTTGTGTATTATTCATGTCATTACTGATAATTAATTAGTGCTACTTAGTGCACATACCAACACCATCCGGCCAACATGCTTGTTGTGTACGTCATAGACAGAAATAATATAAGTATCACGCTATGGCCGTGAATAGTTTTAGACTAATTAACTTTATTTATTTTTTTGACAATCTCTAAATACACAGTATACCAAAGTATCTTTACATCATTCCATTGTCTGCGTTTCATCATTAAGTAGCCTAGCTCACGTAGTCACGTACATCATTAAGTAGCCTCGCTCACGTTTCAATGCTGTAATTTTCAAAGTTTTGCTTATTTTGGATTTTTTTAAGAGACTTTTTTTTAGTGTTATCAAGAGTGCATGTCTTTATTAATGTATTATAATTATAATTTGTTTTTATGTAATATACCAAAATTAATTCTATTTCCGTCTGGAAAAAGTTCACCATATTCACATTTTTGTCAATGATCACAAAGTTTGGGCAATGTATTTAATTTATACATTTATAAACAATTAATAAAAAAAATTAATTTATAACTTATAAATTTTATACTTTTATTAAAAAAAATAAAGAAAATTTTGATGTATTTTCATATTAAATAAATTCACATTAAAAAACTATCATTGGTCAAAATTCATTATCATCGACTAAGAAGTCATTTTGGCAAACCTTTTCTGGACGAATGTAGTAATTTTTTATAATCTTCATGTGACACAGATATATCGTGTAATTCATTACCATCGACTAAAATGTCTTTTTGGCAAATCTTTCAAAAAAATGTCTGAAATTTCAATATTTGTAATTTTAGACTAAAAAACGTGAAATATAATTTTTAAAATATATTGTAGTATGCAGATATAGTGAACATATTTAAGATGATGTGAAAAATATATAATATACCATGTATTTATGATGTAAAGATACTTTGGTATACTCCTTATAACATACTCCATATCTAGAGATTGTCAAAAAAAAGTTAATTAGTCAAAAACTATATTCACGGTCGTATAACGATACTTGTATGATTTCTGTCTGCTGAATAGACAACAAGCAGGGTTGCCGGATGGTGTTGGTATGTGCACCAAGTAGCAGCGCACATGATAGATGCGGGTTTGATTCTTAGGCGAGGCTTTTGCCGAAACTTAAATTTTTGGTGGCTTAATTATCACTAATGACCTGGATAATAATGATGTGGACAAAAACGATGACTAGGATATACACATGGATTTCCGGCGGACAAGTGACAATTTTTTTGCCAGAATATTGAATGGTACCGCTAGTTGCAACATTTAAACGTAGTTGAGGTACTGTTTATGATTTTACTCTGCAATATTAATTTCAAGAATATTTTACACATTTCATTACTAATATTTTACCGTTTCAAGAAATGATTGTTCAGACTATTACAATTAGTACTAAAACTAACAATTAAAAAAAAAGATACTCTTACTTTTGCCATCATGAGATGAAGAAAATTATTAAGAATGTCATGAATACAAACATCTACATATAAAAGGAATGAAGTAAAATAACTTAACAATGTTCTTACATACTTAACAATGACCATATAACCTCTTATAGTATTTCTCACGAGTTTTGTACTTATTTCAACTCATGCCGATTCCAAGCTTTTGGTTAAGATCGAAGTTGTAATATGTGTCTCTCAATTGTTATTTAGTTTATTTTCCGTGAGTGGTCATGCCATTGGTTGACAACATCAACCATCAACCTAAACAATTAAAACAAGATCATCATTTAAATGATAAAAATAGGACCATTTAATATAGGAAGAGAGCACTATGGATGTGATGAAACAACTCTTGAAGTGTGAGAGATAGCTATACGAGTTAGAGATGCATCACAAAGGGAAAGATGATTGGGCAGGTAAGACTGTAAGAGGAATATAGTTGTAGTAAACAAAAAAAATGATACTCCCTCCGTCCCGTCATGAATCATGATTGTCCTATTTTACCATTTTGGTCCGTCCCACTAAGATTGTCGCATACCTTATTTGGTAAGATTGTCTCATAAATCATTCATACTTTATTCTTACTTTATCAATTCAATATCAACCATATAAACCACTTTTATTAATAACCGTGTCACTTTCTCTTGTTCCAAACTTGGGGGGACGGAGGTAGTATTACAGTAGCTAGGCTGCCATATTTTATATTACGTATGAAGCAAAATCATTAACTGTAAGCAAAATAATGATATAATTATGAAATAATTATTTTTCTTCTAAAATGAACACATTTTACCTTCGGTTACATAAAAAAATTTAAATTTCCAATCATGAAAATAAATTGTCAAAGTTATTACCATTATATTTGGAGATAATTACTTATATTGTTGACATAGATTATTGTTGTAAGACTCAAACCGGACCAACCGGTTCGCGCCGGAACCTGGTCAACTGACCATCTGACTGGTTGGACATCAACCCGCAAATATGGTCAAAACTGGAATTAACCATTGACCCACTTGAACCCGGGACGTACGGACCCGAACTTGCTTCAAATGTGGAGCTGCTAACCAACTTGCTACAATAGGGACTTCATAATTACGCTTGTTTAGCTTTTCTTATACCTATCGATCAGCCTGGGATAATTTATTAAGTCTTAATTCATTACTTTATTAAATATTTACTTTATAATTGAAATATTAATAAATACACATCAATACTATTATTATACTTCTTAATTATTTATATAATCTTACAATTTTTTTTAAAAATTTACAATTGGTATTATGTGTGTATTTATTATCCATCTAAATCCCAATGTTTTTCTAAATCTGGTAAAATCAATATACTTAAGTACTACGTACAATGTTTTTACATTGAATATATTGCATTATCATTATCATATCATTTTGAAGGAATATAATTTTTCTATTTAGGAGTTTAAGCTTCTATATAATTAATTAATTAATTAATTATATGTATTGTTGTTGACCGGGTTTTCCTGGCGTTGACCGGGTCGCTCAATGCGATTGACCCGCGACCCAGTCACTCGGCCGGGTCGCTCACCTGTCCGGTTTTTACAACATAGGTTTTTACTTGTACTGAAATTTTCTGGTCTGGTCTGGTCTGAACTGGTATGGTATGACTGCTAAATGTTTGGTCTCTTTGTATTTAGTTTATACCTATCCAAGTTTGATCTGGTCTTGTCTTGTTTGGGACTGAAAATAGTCCAAGTAAAAACATCCTAATACTTTTACATCTAAAACTATTGGGCAAGTTGTACTTCATTAGTTTTTTTAAAACATTTAGTATCATTTTTTATAATGTACTACGTAACACTTTTATTTAAGTATTGCATTTTTTATAGGGAGATTTCAACAAGTAGGACATAATCTTGCTACTTTTCTAAAATTAAGACTACATCTTTACGTAAGACCTAAGTACATCTAACTTGACCAAAGTGCCCTTTCTTTTTAACTCCCCTGCGCATCAAACTTCATCGACGCTAGCTCTCTCCTCTTCACGATTCATCAAACAAACATCATCAATCTAGGCCAACATCAGCGCTGCGGATTTTGCCATTACCGATGTCAGTCACCGCCGCCGACGCACCAGATAGCTGCTGCAGTTGACTTCATCAGACGCCATCACCGGAGGTTTCTTCTTCTTTCACCTCTTCTTCCTCATCTTCTTCTTCTTCTTCTCCTTCTTCTCCTTCTTCTTCTTCTTTTCTTATTTTGATCTCTGATTTTGCTAATTTTGAACTTCTATTTCATATTTTCACAAGGCCACTAGGTACTCTGCAAAACTTTTGAAGAAACCAAATCCAAATCCAAACCTGCAAACACTAGACAATACATAGACAATAAGTAGTCAATAAACAGACAATAAGTTCTAATAATAGCTCAATACTAGACAATATATAGACAATAAGTAGTCATTATACAGAAAATAAGTTCTGATAATAGCTCAACAGCAGAGCAGGTAATGTAAAACTAGGAGGACAATTGAACTTGACCTTGAAATTGGGAGGAAGGGGCTTAGGAGAGGGGTCGCTGAAATTTTGGCCTTTGTGTGTGTTTAGGTTTACAACGATGATGGGCGACGACCTCTGGCGGCGATGAACAGCAGCGAACTTAGTTGTGGCCTACGATGAAGAGTTGCAATTAATTGAAATCGAAATTTCTCTGATGAGTCGTCTTCTCCGTCATCTTTTCTCTGTATGATTCCGCAGCAATCACGGTGAAATCGAAATCATATTTGTGGGGGAGGCACCTCTCATTCTCTTGTGAAATCGAATTATTACAAAGATTATTACTAAGTGAGGAAGTGAGATCGAAATATTACACAGAAAAAGACTGTGAGATTGGATGATTAGTGATTTTGGATGATTACAGAGATGAAGAACGGAGGAAGAAACAAGGTCGTTGATAGAGAGATCTCGCTGCGGAAGTTTTCATCTTTAATACGCAATATGAAGTAAAGGGTAGAAACGGAAATTACAAACAAGCTTTCCCAAAACAGATGTAAATAACTCTTACCGATGGAAAAAAAACTAAACAGGTCTTATTTTTATAATCTTTGTATGATTTTGTCTCACCCGTGGCAATTTTCTCCTTCAAAAATTCGTTGGGGGTCTGTTTGGTGGGAAAATTACCCAAATAAGACACAAAGCTAATAACTTTCTTAAATTAGGACTACAAACTTCCGTATGACTAAACATGAAAGTAATTGACAGGAATGCCCTTATTTATCTCTCCGGTGATCATCAGTTTGTGCAATTCTCCGCCGTCCTTGTCGCCACTGACCAGAAGACATCGCCTCCGTCCGTTTCAAATCAGCTCCGGGCGAATCTCTAGCACCGGAGTTCTAGAACTGGTTAGCGAAGTAAATTCCATAAACCTTGCAACTTTTTTCGGCCATGCATGAATCGCTGTGTGCTAGATACTGCTTATGGATCCATGATCCATCTATTTTGCTATCAATTTCTCCTTTTTGATGCAAATCAATTTGCTGTTGTGACTTAAGAGGTAAATATTATGAATATGTTTAAGTATTTATGAAATCTAAGTTCAGTTGATTCATATAACTTGTGAATAAAGAATTAGATGTCGGGTTCAAATTGAGAACTCCTAAAGGCCATTTTGAATCTCCCACGGTAGAAGGCTCCACTAAAAGAAATTAAAATTAAGGACCTTCTTATGGGCATTAATCAGTCCGTAATAAGACATTAATTTTAACTAATTGCCTACACATCTAACAACCAAGAAATTTGAGTATGTAACAAAAAACAAAAATACATCAAATCAAATGCCAAAATACCATAACAATTAACATAATGTACAATGCCAACAAACCATGGCAGTCAATAATAGTGGGGGGGAAAGTAATAAAAATCTTACAAATGTTAGTGCGTGATAAAATTAATAAAAGTCTTACAAATCACTCACTTGGCATTGATAAATGTCAAGTAATCTCGAATACAAACAAATGAGACCATTTCTCAACACCTATCTAATCCAAATAATCTCGAATACAATATCTTCTACATTTAATGGCTCCAAGTACTTATCAAATTGAGGGGTAGCAGCCCTAGTAGCCTGCCTGATTAAACTTCCATGCAAGAAGACCTATAGTAGAGCCCTTGAATATTGTCCTAATATTTCCTAGCGGGTGGTACACACAGTAGTCATGCTCAACGTGTTGAAACACCTCTTTTGTCGCATGTATAATACCCCTGTGATGATATGAAACAATACATCAAGTCATGCTTATACGCAATGCACACTTTCAGTTTCGTAAAAACCAATTCCATGTTTTCTTTTGCTCAGTATTACACACCCCAAAAGCCAAAGGAAAATGTGTTTGTTAGCATCTTGAGCACATATTGTTAGTAGATTACCCTTGTAATATGCTTTTACAAATGTAATATCTGGTTGATGTATGCAATAAAGTCTATAAGTGGACAGTAACTAGTCCTTAAAGGCATAACTGTAGACATTAAATGCATCTAGCTAGAATAAGTACAACTTTACTACAAAACTATAAAGTAACTATGAAAAAAACTATAACTATAAAGTAACTATGAAAAAAACTTGCAAACACTAGACAATACATAGACAATAAACAGTCAGTAAATAGACAATAAGTTCTGATAATCAGAGAACCTTTACAATTCAAAGCTAGAATACTGATGCATCTGAGAATTTGTTTGGCCAAATTCTAAGAGTCCTCAGACCAGTTCAAGTATCAAGAAGATGATTCTCATTAAAATAGAGTTGTGTAGTTTAAGCTGTGAATTCTGACTAATCAAACAAATATGACATTTATTTTAACAGAGTTTCAAAATTTTCAAGATGGAGGCTAAGTTAGCAAAGAGTGCTAGCTCCCATGATTTCCAATTATAAACCTTTTTCTCTTACGTGATTAACCACTTCCCTTGGGGCGTTGGTTAGGAAGACCCTAAATTTAATGGCTTTTCACCCATAATGGGAGGTCTATCAAAGGTATGGGAGTACTCCATCCAATGGGAGTACTCCATCCAATGCATACCCAAAGTTAACAACATTGCAGAAAACATTTACCTTTCCTCTCATCTTATGGCAAGATATTGGAATAAAGAACAAGTGAGCCTCATCTGGATCGTTTGTAACAAACTTACTCTCCCTAATATTCTGAAAAAAATAGCCCTCGCTGGCGTACTTTCCCGTCAGCTTCCTTGGAGTCTGATAAAACGTATTCGGATCACCATCTGGATATATATACACCTTGAACTTTTCCTCCATTTCGGCATAGTTCAATCTGAATACATCCGGTGAATGATACACATCTGACAATTTATTCTCCACAGGTGATGATAACTCCTCTGGTGCTTCAATAAATTTCGAACTTTCAGTGAAATTAGATGCCGAATTTATTACCTAAATGAAGATCAAGGACTTCGTGAATGAGCTATTTCCTCTTCTAATCAGAGATGTTTAGAATGAAATGTATTGAAGATTTTACCAGGTCGTGTTGGAAAGGAGAAGGATTTATGGAGGTTCCGAGCGAAGGTGAATTCAGAGACTTCAGCGAGATGCAACTGAAGGAGACTAAAGTTAGAACGGCAAGGGTGACGATGGAGCCTTGAATTGGAGAGTGCAGACGGCGGCAAGAGATGTCGGTAACCGTGAGTGTTTGGCCGCCGACATTGCCGGCGGTGGGTGGAATTAACGATTTTGAAGGAAGCTGCCGGTTCTGTGATGTCAGAAGTAACTCGGGAGCAGAAAGAAATTGATCGTGAATACGCTACCTTAAGTGGAGGATAAAAGGGGAAACTAAAAATTAAGTTTCCTAAGATAGGAGTAAATAAAGCTTACGGATGGGAGAAAACAAACTAAGTCCTAATCTTGTAAAGTTGGTATGATTTAGTCTTACTAACAGCAATTTTCTCATTTTTTATATTTAATCATTTTAAAAGCTATATAACAAACAAAACTATATATAAGAGTCTTTTATGAAACTCGATCAGGTCCGAGTTTACGTAGGCCTGAGTTTATGTACGATCGGCACTGCCCTCAATGTAAGACTCTATAGAGTCCTGAGTCCATGTCCAATCTGTCCATAGACTCATACTACGTATTTAATGTCTTGACTTCATTCATGTCTCCAAGTACAAATGGTCTTAGCACCAAAACTTTTCATTATATGTTGATTTTTATTTTATTTGCATTATATTTTACATCTTTAAATTTATCATTTTTTGCATTATATTGAAATTTATTGTGCTAAGATAGGACTCATGTTATCAAGTAAGCTAATCATATTTTGCATATATGGTGTTTGATGAAATGTTTAGGTGATATGTCAGAAAAGAATTTTAGTTGTAGGAAGTGTAATGTTTCTTCTTAAATTCTATGTTCATATACATGTTGCTTGATTAAACGTACAGATGATCTTTCCAGGAAAAAACGGCAATATGAATTTATTATAGTTAGAAGTCTAATGTTTATCTTATGATATTATGTGCTCTTTTTAAGTTGCTTGTTCAATGTTCAACCTAATTTCATTTTCTTGGATCACAAGTGTTCAATATTATGAAATTAGAAGGTCTTTCTAAGTCTAATGTTTAACCTAATTTCATTTCTCTTGATCCAAAAGCACTAAATAGGTCATTACAAAACGGGTTTCTTTTCTTAGAGCTATTCAAAGTTGATTTGTTTCAAGCTATTCAATAGCTTGCTATATAAATATCACACATAAAATCTTAAAGTAAAAACTATAATATCTATTTTTTTTTTGAGAGAGTAACTATAATATCTATTTTATTCTGTTGGATTTTAAATTTTATAAGTCATCAAGTTTAATGTCTATCGTTGAAATGGAATTTATAGGGAGTAGGAGTGGCAATAATCCAAGATCCATGTATACTGATATATATTATCCAAAAGCATTATCAGTTTTGTACGAGAAGTCTTGGACTGAATACTATTAAGCAGGATGTATTCTAGACTACTATCGAAGAACATACACTACAAAGATCAAAGGTAAACTTGAGCTGTAAGCCTGTAACAACATCATAATAGTCATTTAACATATCCAACAATTGTGAGAAGATAATTTCGTATTACAGAATGCTTTCAGAACAATTTGCAGCACTGCTTTCAACCAAACAAAATGTATATACACACAATCAAATATCTATTTTCTGCACAGACAACCTCAAAGTCTTCTTAAATCTTGTCATTCAAGTGTTTCGTTTCAGCCTTTACCATTTGGGAGAAAACTCTACCCATAGAAACGCCTTCAAGATCACCCATACTTCCAACGCTGACCTGAGTTGTAGAAGTGCTGATTTCCGGATCCGGGATGCCACCTCGAACTCTTCTGTCTTCTTTTCCATTGAGCTGAAGGACACACTCCAAGTTCCATAGGACCTCCCCCATTGTGGGCCGATGAATCCCACACTCCGCCAAGCATTTTTCAACTATCTCCACAAACTTCAGTAAAGACTCCGGTTTTACTCTTTCCTTAAGGTGAGGATCAAGAACCATTTCCAACTCCCCTCTCCTTATCACACGCATAGCCCATTCAATCAAGTTTGCAGATTCTCTGGGGCGGGAAGGGTCGATAACTGGCCTCCCTGAGAGGATCTCAAGCATTACGACCCCGAAAGAGTAAACATCTGACTTCTCCGTCAGTTGTTGTCTTGTCAAGTACTCCGGGTCAAGATAACCGAAACTTCCTTTTACTGCAGTGCTGACATGTGTCTGATCCATCTCGGGCCCATCTTTTGACAGCCCAAAATCTGCAACCTTAGCCATGAGGTTCTCGTCAAGTAATATGTTTGCTGACTTTACGTCCCGATGGATGATCGCCTTCTCTGAACTGGTGTGTAGATAATGAAGCCCTCTTGCAGATCCAATGCAGATTTCGACCCTCTGCCTCCAATTCAGCTTTGGAAGATCTGAACCGTATAAATGGTTCTTTAGACTTCCATTATCCATGTACTCATATACTATGATCATTTCGTTCATCTCGTCACAATATCCTATCAATGACACTAGATGGCGGTGTCTGAATTTAGACAACATTTCTATCTCTGTAATGAACTCAGCGAGTCCTTGGCTTGATTGATGGTTGCCTCGCTTTACAGCCACTACCGTACCATCTTTCAAAACTCCCCTGTAAACCTTCCCAAAACCGCCAACGCCTATAATCATCTCTTCACAGAAATTGTCTGTGGCTTCTTGAATGGCCTTAAAAGGGATTAGATACCCTGCCTTTGACCTCGAAATGGAACCCTGTTCTTCATAATATTTACTCAAACCAATACGTTTTCTTCTTCTGTTTCGGTAGACCAGAATGGACACCAAAGCAAAAACAACCAAGCAGAATGCTCCCAAGCCTGATCCCAAAATCACCCATTTTTTAGACTTGGAAGTGGTTTTGGAGAGTTGAGTTTCAGTGTCCTCTTCATCAAGACTGTTCTTAGAGTTGCTTATTTTCATGATCTCCAGCCCGTTCAGGATGCCATCGGGAAGCACATTGCGCACATCTGATGGGCCAATTGTTATGCTAAGCTCACGACCTGTGGCCAACCTTTTCACAACATCCATGTGATAAGGAGAAGCAAAGGCATTTGAGGTTTTAGTTTTAAGGTCAAGGTTTTCAGCGACGACATGGGAATTGAGGAAAACGTTGAACACAAGTTCGTTAGAAGAATCACTAACCATATCACAAAAGTGGAACCGAACTAGATACTCAAAGGCGGGATGAACTTCAAACTGCCATGTAGCATTAAACCGGATATTAAAGTCCACCTGTTTCAATCTAGTAGCAGATTCATACACAAGGGGAGGAGCTATGTTCTCTGTCGCCCCTCTTGTATAATTCAGGACACCTTCCTTCAATTCAAACTCGACAAAATTACTACTTTTAAGATATCTATCATCAGAAAACCATAACCTCCCCAATGTATCATTTTGAGGGGGAATTGTTACATTCCCCATGTTTACCCTCACCACAGTCTCCAGGGCATGTTCCCTAAGGTCTTGCTCACTTCCTTCTGGAGTGCCCATTCCAGCACCAGCAGGTATAACCTCATCAGGAATTGAAACCACTTCCAGAGCATTAAGGAAAGCAAAAGAATTGGCAGCAGGGGTAAAAACAAGAACCAGCTGACTACTACTTATATTCAAAGAGTATTCTTTAAGTGTGGAGGTATTTGATTGCTGGAAATTTTTCAAGAGAGTTAAGTTCTGGGCTGAAACAGAAAATCTAGCAGTGCTTAGGTTATGATTTTCTTGAACTAAAGGAAAGAAATGCAGACGAAGCCAGTGTCTGCCAAGCTTTTTTATTGGAAAAACGAACTCTGAGGTTCCATTGAGAATTCTGGCAGTCTGATAAAGGGGTGAAGTATAGTTGAAGGGAAATGGAATAAGAAGGTCAGAAGCTGATTTTGCAAAAATCTTGTGTGGAGTTGAAAGGGTTGTGGAATTCAAGTTGTCAGCCAAGAAAACCCGGCGACCCAGAGTTGTGTTTTCAGATGATCCACAGTTTATCAGATAGTTGTCCACTGGGTCATATTCTGAGGAAACAAATATCAAACAACATATGGACGAAATCATGAACACCAAATTGAGCATTTTTAGCTCAACAGAAATAATCAGCTGTAGAACAGGAAAAGTAATCAAAGAATTCAAGGACAGTATAACAGCAATCAACAAATAAAAGGATTCCACCCTAAGTTCTGCAGAGCTTTACCAAGAACAGCAAGAAAATAGTTCAACTTTGAGCTATGGCATTAAAGAAGAAAAGGAGATCGAATGAAGGGTCAAAATGTATGAGCATTGTTAGGAAAAGAAAATCTAGATATCTTAAATTGATTGGCTGAGAGGTTGAAATTTGAAAAGAGTTTTAAAAGGACTAATTTATAATCCCTATGCCATTTTTGGCATTCCTCACAGCTGTCTCTCGCCTACATTGTCAAAAAAGGATGACAGCTGAGAATTATCAAGACGTTTTGTTAGCTATAAAATTTCTAGGGAAAACTGTCAAATAAGTCCATCTACTTTCACCAAAAAGTCAATTGAGTCCATGCACTTTAAAATGAATCAATCAAATCCACAAACTGTTGAAAAATGACCAAATTAGCACTTCAGCCGGTTGAATGGAGGTAATGCCGGTTATAGCTCACTTGGACGCCCACGTGGGATAATTTATAATTTTTTGTTTTCTCTTTTGTTTTTTTCCTATCCTTTTTCTCTCCCTGTTAGCTTCTTCTTCCCCTGGGTTTGCACTTTGCATTCGACCGGCACAGTTCTTCTGTTCATCCTTAATTTCTTTCTTTCAATTTTTCATCCATTCTTTCCGGTTCTCTTTCTTTCATAGAAGGGTACCAATCGTCGTCGGTCGTAGCACACTTCTTGCATGATTTTTGTTCCGCAGCGGCCAGCGCCCAAAACTTCCCCATCCGCCGCCAATCACCCACCGCCCACTTCTCTGGCCTCCGCCGCCTGTCGCCCATAACTACAGCTCGATCTGTGTCGCCGACCGCCCTTCGTCCGCAAATTCCCCAACCACCTCTGCCCATCGCCTTCATCTTCCTCAACCCGCCAACAGCCTCCAACCGCCGTCCGTCTCCCACATCATCCCCAACTATCGTCGCCTTCAGCCCGTCTCCCTCATCTTTGTCAACCTCCGCCGCCCGCTGCCTTTCAAAAGAAATAGAGTCTGGATTTAGGAAGAAACGAATTTCAGGAGTAGTTTGCGTCGAAGCAGGAGAAGAAAATGAACGAGTGAAGAAGAAAGAGAGATGAAAAAAGAAAAGGAAAATAAAATGAAAAATTAAAAATATGAACAGTAAAAGAGTCAATTAGACTTCCATGTAAGCCAGAGAAGGGTTACCGGATGATTACCGAGTAAATAGCCAATTTGATGGATTTTTAACAGTTTGTGGACTTGATTGATTCATTTTAAAGTGCATGGACTTAATTGACTTTTTGATGAAAGTAGATGGACTTATTTGACAGTTTTCCCAAATTTCTATAACTAAATATAGAGATTGTTGTTAGGATTCAAATGGGTTGTATTGATTGATTCTGCTAAAATTTATGAAGTTGTGATTGTATTGACTCATTCTGCTGATTTGTAAAAAACAAATTAAAATATCTTTTGTAAATTATTCCATCATTTGCGATGGAGCCAACGACTCACTATTTTTTTACTTGAAAATATGATGGAATAGAGCAAAATGACTCACTAAACTATTTGCACTTCTTGGTTATGAAACTGCAGTAAGTCCATGCAATTTTGGACATGATTTTCACTATGTTTCATCCGGAAACAGTCTCTCTTATGGGTCATCCGGAAGCTGCAGTCAGTTTATGCTTTAGTACAGAGGTAAGACTGCGTACATCCGACCCCTTACTCCACCGTAGGTGGGAGCCTGCACGGCATTGGAGTAATGATAATGATGATGATGATAAAGAAAAAATTATATGAAAAAATAACTAAAATGATGTTCTATAGTAATTTGAATTAATACAGTCAGAAAAATAACTTTAAACTTACTTTTTCTTATTATCACACAATTCAGCGCGTGTAATCATAAATTACGGGTTTGATGTAAAAGTTAGTTGATAAGTCTAAAAAACAAAAATAATGGTTACCAAAAGCCTGTAAAACTATTAATCAATGAAATAATTACAAAAATATCACTAAAATAGAGATGATTTACAAAAATTTGATTAGTGACTAGATCGTATTTAAACTTAAGTTTTCATGACACTATATTGTATTTGGAAGGTGTTTAAATGTGAAAATCACAAAAAGGTTGACGATAAAAGATTTATTCATAAATAGATTAGTTAAAAGATGAAGCAAAAAAAATACCGGAGTGCGATGAAGCGTTATTATGCTGAAAAATGCATAGGGCTTCTGCAAGTACCGGGGACAGAGTCCCACTCTCTATTTGTGATTATAGTCCACTTTACATCCTCTCATCATACTATCCTGTCGGTTGGAGGTTCTCAGGGATAAGGTGTCATCCTTTTTTTGAAGCAAAAAAAATAAAATTTAGATGCCGCAAAAAATATTAAAACAGGGGCCCGAGCGGGGTGTACCGTGTACTTATCAAGAATGTTATTTTAGTTGAAGAAGTACGTATAAGAATTGGAAAAGAGTAATTACTCATCACACGGTTGGAGACGCCGTCACATAAAACCAAAAGGCTAAACAAGCCTAACACGCGTTTTCTAGGACCAGCCAATGGTCGTCTCCGTAGCATGTGGGCCCTTGTACGGCCTGGAATGGAAAAATATTAACTAACCTTTTCGTTGGGCCCCATTTGGTGACACTTGTTTTTACTTTACAGATTTTTGTATCAAACGCAATTGAAGTTACTTTCATGATAGGATTGATTATTTTTTTACTTTACAGATTTTTGTATTAAACTTGGAAGTTACTATTGTGACAGAATTGATTAAATTTGCTGCAAATGATTATCTGAAGTGTTTTATAATATTCTTTTGTTTTATCATCTAAACATATTTTACATATAATTCATTATTATTCAACAATTTCAGTGAGATATTCACTCATTTTAGTAAACTAAACCGATTCAACTAACTTCTTTGTCAAATATGCAATTTTCCATTTTATATGCTGATTTTTGTAATAGCCAATATAAACAATGTTGAAATTATTTTTATGACTAGATTAGATAAATTTGTTTACAATTACTATTTTAGATATTTTTTATATAACTTCTTCTTTGTATTAATATTAAAGTATATTTTACATGTAGTTTATTTATAATTCAGCAAATTTAGCTAAATCATGCATTATTTAACCAACGTCGGCCAATTCAGGATGATTTTAACCAATTTTAACAAACTAAGTTAATTTTGTGTTACCAAACGAGATCATAATCTTCCAATTTTATTTCTTATTTCTTACACCAAAGATGATCTAAACAGGAGTAGAAATAATATAAAATTAAAAAAAAATATTTTGTTTTCCGTATAAATAAGAGATATGTTTCATATCTTATTATATCAGGTGTAAATTATAGCATATGTACTATGTTATTAATGTCGGTAATGCCAAAATACAGCCATAGGTTTGCTAAGATCACATTACTTTCATATTTAGATAAAAATATACTCATTTCATCTCATTTTACCTGTTTGGACGTCTTATTTTTCTTTTTGGGTTGTCCTAAACTAAGTGTTACTACCTCCGTCCCCCTAAGTTTGGGACAAGAGAAGGTGGCACGGTTATTAATAAAAGTGGGTTTATGTGGTTGATATTGAATTGATAAAGTAAGAATAAAGTAGGAATGATTTAGAACTACACAAACTTTATCAAATAAGGTATGAGACAATCTTAGTGGGACGGACCGAAATGGTAAAATGGGACAATCATAGCGGGACGGAGGGAGTACATTTTTTGACAAGAAATATGTGATACACATCATCTCACTTTATTATATTCAAATCTCAACCACATTTTTTACTTTTACAATAACTTTATTAATAATTGTACTAAACTAAAAGAAAGACACATAAAATGAGAAAGTACATTTTCTCTTGTTTTGAAATTTCACAGTTTTACTCCTAGAACTACCCTTTCAGTATTGCATAAATATAAATTAGAATTAGCATCGTGCTTGATAGAAAAGCTTAACAAGAGTCATATACGCACTATTATTTTCTTTTTAAGGGGAAAACTGTTTCTGGTTCTTTTTTAAAGCAGAAACAGAATTAGAGTCAGTTTTCAGAAGTTAGCTTCCCCAACTTCTAAAAAAATTGTTCTAAGTGTAAATAAATTAAAGCACCAGAAGTACTTTTACACTTTCATCCAAACACTACAACTTCAGGTTCTGCTCCCTGAAGAAACAGAAGCAGTTTTAAGAATAAGATTCAAACACCCTATTACATCATTCATAAATCTAAAATCTTATAATTCCACGTGTGAAAAGTTGGTATACCGTGGGAGCAGCCCATGGTGAGAATGGTGCTCCCACAACTAATTCACACGTGAACAGTAACACGCGTGAACAATAACCATTTTTTTGTTCCCGGTAGCAGGGTGGTGTAACTTATGTGTAATAAAATGTAACTCACGTTGATATGCAATGTAACTGCAGGTACGTCGAAATGTAACTTATCTCATACGGAGTAGAAGAAATAAATCATTGATTTCAATGTAAACAATGAAAAAGTAGTCTAATTGTTCATTACCTTACTTAAATAGTGAAAATGTTTTGTTTTTGATATTAAGGCCATAAAAATATTTTTTAAATATCTTTTTTTTTTCAAAAAAAAAATCTTTTTTTTGCAGAAAATGGTTTGGTTTAATTATTTTGGTATGTAACTAATGTTATGGAAAATGTAACTCGTGTTGATGAAAAAATCTATCGTAGGTATATAAAAAATGTAACTTGTTGATACAAATCTAAATGTAATTCGCGCATAAGAAAATGTAACTCAGGCATAAAAATATGTAACTCGCTCATAAGAAGATGTAACTTTATATATATATATATATATATATATATATATATATATATATTATCAAATGTAAATAATGAATAACAAGGAGCCTAATTGCTCAACTACCTTACGTAAATATATAGTGAATATGTTTTGTTTTTAATATTTAAAGCCATAAAGAATGTTTCTTGAGAAATCTTTTTTTTTGCCAAGACTTTGTTTTGGGGAGGGGGGGGGGGGGTTACAAAATAAACCTATGTTATTGAAACAAAAATCATTTATTTTGTAATGTTACTCGTATTATGGAAAATGTAACTCGTGTTGATAGAAAAATTAACTTATGTGTATGCAAAATGTAACTTGTTGATGCAAGTTTAAATGTAACTAGCACGTATGAAGATGCAACTAACTCATAAAAAGATGTAACTCGCGTACAAGAAGATATGACTTCATATATTATCAAATGTAACTTCATAAATTATCAATAAATATATCTCACACATGTATGTGTGTGTGTATATATATATATCACATAAAAATGTAATATCATATTTTATAAATGTAAATCAAAATAACCAAATTTAATGTCTAAAACACTAAAAACATATAAGAGAGATAATTATAAATATGTTATATGAAAAAGTGTGAATATGAAAAAATATATTACAAATAAGTGTATAAATATAAAAAAAATATTTATTTTGAAAAAAATTGTTAATTTTTTGTTGTAACTTTAGTTGAATAAAAAAAGCAAAGAAAATATGTATCAATAAGAACTAAGAGAGAAAGAAAAAGTAATTAATTGATTTGAAGGGATGAAAAATTTGATCACAAAATTCTAATAACCATTCCAGTGTTCTTAAGTTAAAAAGTTAGCATTGTGATGATGAAAAAATTAAACGTGAAAAAGGAAAAGAAATGAAACGTGCAATGAGTGGGGAGTGTGAGTGCACAACTGGAGAATGCATGTGAGTGAGGCGACCATCGAGCAAGAAGTCATGTATGATCCGTTTTATAAAAAACGGTACTATATTTGGGGGATCGGTATACCATGCACGTGGTATACCGATCCCACAATATAATTTGCCATGGGAGAACTTTATTTTGAAAGATAGGGAGTAGTAGGACGGATAATAGAGTATGAAAAAGGAAGAGCTATCTATAGGTAGGAATGGAATGACTTTGGTCACAGCTGGCCGGACGTCCGCCTTGTTCCTTTCACACTATTACCTGGATCTGGTTTGTTGGCATTGATCCTGACGAATTATATGGGTCCATTTTCGCTGCTGGGTATTGATTTGTTTGTCGCCCATTAATACCGCACCTCAATTAATTATAATTATCAATATTTGGCCAAATGCTTTTGTACCTCTTCATTATCCTTTATTTATGGTGCATTTTGATTTCGGAAAGTGATAGGGAAAAGGGGAAAGGCCTCAAAAAGTCACGGAGTATTCGGTTGTCTTTTGATTTACCTCGGCAAAATGCTAAAAAGATTATGATCAAGTTTTAAAAGATGCATGAGTTTTTTTGTCACTTTTACTCATGTGACTATTATGTCATTGACTCTTTTGATACTTGACTTTGAATTTTTCATCTTTAGTGCTCGACTATTGCGCTACATACAATTTTGATACTTGC